GTGAATCTAATGGCCCCAGGGTCAGGGGTTCTAGTGGCAGGGCGGGGCTATATGGATTATATAGTAAAAATGCATTATTTCTTTGATATTCTTCTTTTCTGCTCCTGGGCATTAAATAAATTAACCAAGTGCATAGTTATGGTGAATAAGGCTGCCTCATCTAAAATTGTGAATTTTATGGTCCCAGGATCAGGGGTTCTGGTGTTAGGGCGGGACTCTATTGTTTGTATTGTGAAAATGCATAAACTCTTTAAAAATCTTCTTTTCTGCACCTGGGTATTAAACCAGTGAACTATGTACATAGTTATGAGGAGGAAGGATGCCTCTTTGAGATTCGTGAATTTCAGGGCCCCTGGGTCAGGGCTTCTTGTGTTAGGGCGGGGTTCTTATGTTTCTATAGTGAAAATGCATAAATTCTTTGAAAGTCTTTTCCTTTGATCCAGGGTATTATGGCAATGATCTTAGTATATATTTATGACGAAGAATGCTGCTTCTTCCAAAAATGCTTAATTTCCTGGCCCCTGGGACAGAGGTACTTGGCTGGGGGGGGGGGTCTGAAAATGATTTTATGCTTTGAAATCTGCACTTTGGTATTAATCAACAACATGATGAAATAAAATTTATAAAATTTCCAAAATTTTGAAAGATGTGGCCCCAGGGTCTGTGGTTCCTGTGGAATGGTTTGCACAACTGATAATGATAAAGTGGAAATGCATTTTCTCTTTTTACTGTGATCTACATGTACCTCTGGGTATTACTAACCAAAGTAAGTATGCTGAGTGCATAATTATGATAAGCAATGGTGCCTCTTTTAAAATTGTGAGTTTCATGGCTTATAGATTAAAACATGAATCAATTTCAATTGTTGGAAAGTTGTTGCATGATACTCATGTGATCTAGAAGGCCCTTGCCTCTTGTTTCACTTTATTATCAATAGAGCGCCCCCCCCCCCCCTACAACCCCTGGGCCATATATTTCGCAATTTTTAAATTGGAATCATTGTTTATCATAACCATGTGCATGTACTTGATTAGTTAAAAAATACCCATTAGCAAAGAAGAGGATTTTCAAAGAATTAATGCATTTTGATTATATAATCAATAGAGTCCCTCCCCCTAACACCAGATCCCTTGACCCAGGGACCATGGAATTTACGATTTGTGAAAAGGCATCATTGCTTATCATAATCAAGCACTTAGATTATTTGAATGAAACCCTGGAGAAGAGAATATTTTCAAAGAAACAATGGCTTTTCACTATAAGCCCCTCCTTAGCACCAGAAACCCTAACTCTAGGGCAATGGATTTCACAATTTTAGCAGAGGGCCAGTGCTTGTTACACTCAAGCCAACAATTTGACTGCTTGGTGTCCAGGAGTAAAGAATATGTTGAAGATTGCATCAGTTTTGTTTTTTTTAACCCCCCCCCCCCTTTAGGCCCCAGGTGGGCAGGGACTATGAAATTCAAAATTTTATATGTGTTCCTCTTTGGTTTAGCGGTTTTGGAAAAGTTGAAAATGTTTTAAAGTTAACGCACAGCGCACCACAACAGATAGCAAGAGGTCACTTGAGTGACTCGGGTAACCTAAAAAATACTACTCTCAAGCATAACTATCACTGATATATGTTGTATGAATTATTTTAAGATTTTTCAAGTTTTCGTCATATTTCTACGATACAAAAGTAATTATAACGTGCTTTGCTTGTTCTATTCGTTCAGTTCATACTCAGCTAAAAAGTACAATGTCTAAAGAAATCAGCACGGGGAAATTGAATTTTAATATAATACTTACACTGTATTTTCTATCGTTGTAGATTGGTTAGTTTTCACGAAGATAAGTGCTGCTCTTGATCTACGATTTTTGTCCCCTGCTTTCACTTAAAATGGGGGATATTAATTTGGGTCTGTCCGTCCGTCCGTATTTCTGTCTGTCTGTAACGCTTTCGTTTCCGCACGGTATATCGAGAACTCTTTGAGCTTTCGCAATGAAATTTTGCATAATTCCCTTTGACCTACAAAGGAACACAATTGGTTTGAGGTCAAAAGTCATAAATCTGTGGTTTAACACTTCCGTTCTCGCGCGATATCTCGAGAATCCTTTGAGATTTTGCAGCGAAAATTTACATAACAACTCCCTGTCGCCAAAGAAAGACCCCTTTTGATTTTGAGATCAAACTTCAAGGTCGTAAATTTATAAATTCCGTCTGTGTGTAACAATTTCGTTTTCGGGCGATATCTCAAGAAGATTTTGAGCTTTTGTAATGAAATTTTATACTAAAACTCCCTTAATTGGGCCTCTGTCATCCTGTCAAAGTGTTTTATTTAGTTAGTATTTTTATTGTATTAAATGTCGCTTGGTACTATTTTAGCACAGGGGCATGTGGAGAGTTATTATTACGTATAACACAGGTTGTCAGTCGACTTTTTATTCTTATTACATCTGTTAGAACTGTTTAGTAAAGGCTATAATAGACATCATGTATTTTGTGTAAAATTTTGACAATTTCGAACGTGAATATATAAGTCTTAAGTCCGATTTATAGAAAAATACTTCTAACGGCAAATGATTATTATTACGTCCAGCTGCACCATCATTCAGTTGTAGAATAGTGAGATGCAGAGGAAAAAATACAAATCTGCAGTTTATGGATATTTGCAAATATAACATTTTTGAAGAAGTTTTCCCATTATATTACAAATATTATATTTTCATCCATATGCCTGAAAAACTGTCGAATCACATAGAGTTATATTTCACCGGAAACAGTTATATTGCCCTCCCGAACACAGTTATGTTCCCTCGCGTGCAATCATTCTGCATATTAAATACGTCGGGTTCGAAATTCACAGAGGCAGTTGCTTAGCAAACGTAAACAGAGTCGCAAAAATTCAAAAGCCGTGACAAGGTTTGGGATTTGTTTTTAGCTCACCTGAGCCGAAGGCTCGAGTGAGCTATTCTGATCAAAATTTGTTCGTTGTCTGTCGTCATCGTTGTTGTTGTTGTCATTGTAAACTTTTCACATTTCATCTTCTCAAGAACCACTGGGCCAATTTCAACCAAACTTGCCACAAAGTATCTTTGGGTGAAGGGGATTCAAGTTTGTTCAAATGAAGGGCCATGCCTTCTTCAAAGGGAAGATAATTCTGAATTAGTGAAAGATTAATGGCATGTTTTAAAAATCTCCTCAACAGCCACTGGGCCAGGTAAGATGAAACTCATGTAGAAGCATCCTCAGGTAGTGCAGATTCAAGTTTGTTCAAATCATGACCTCCAGGGGTAGGATGGGGCCCCAATGGGGGGGTCAAAGTTTAATATAGGAATATATAGGGGAAGTCTTTAAAAAATCTTCTCAAGAACACTGGGCCAGGAACGTTGAAACTTACGTGGAAGCATCCTCTTGTAGTGTAGATTCAAATTTGTTCAAATCATGACCTCCGGGGGTAGGGCGGGGCCAAAATAGCCAATCAAAGTTTTACATAGAAATATATAGGAAAATTCTTTAAAAACCTTCTTCTCAAGAATAGCAAAACCATGATTGATCATATTTATATGGAAGCATCCTCAGGTAGTGTAGATTCAAGTTTGTTCAGATCAGGACCCCTGGGGGGGGACAAAATGGCCGACCAAAGTTTTACACAGAAATATATAGGAAAATTCTTTAAAAATCTTCTTCTCAATAATAGCAAAGCCATTATTGATCATATATTGAAGCACCCTCAGGTAATGTAGATTCATGTTTGCTCAAATCATGACCCCGGGGGTTAGGGCGGGATTATCTATGTTATTACATAGAAATATATAGGAAAATTCTTTAAAAAAACATCTTCTCAAGATTTGCAAAGCCATGATTGGTCATGGGACTACTTTTTGATTTAAATTTTTAATAATAAACCAATTACTACTTTTTCCTAGCCACAATGCTCAGGTGAGCGATGTGGCCCATGGGCCTCTTGTTTGAATTTAGATGAATTTAATTGAGGAGAAAATTCTTTACAACAAAGGTTATCAACACAAGTGTCAGCATACTGAAAACATTCTGTCAGGAAACAGGACGGGATATTTCGGAATTATACTCAACGTACATGTTTATATACACAAATGTTCAATAAATATGGGTTCAATGTTAAAAATTGTTATATACCATATATTACATGGCTTAATTCTCGGGCAGCAATACCAGAATATTTGCCCCGAGGTGACAGGAAAGCCCTGGAGTGTTATACTGCCCGAGAATTAAGTCATGTAATATGTCTATAATGTAAAATCCTGATCAAAGCAGAATATAGAAACAATAGACAAATATATCAGAGAAAATTTGAATTAAGTGTAGAACGGACATAATTTTCTGAATTAAAAATGATAATGTAAGTGTTTTCTTATCATTATAATAGTTGCATAACACGCAGTGAGATAACAATTTACATGTGTAGCGCCTTTTTTGGACAACCCTCACTTATTAATCATCCAAATCAGCTTTATATGTGCATTTCTCAATTTTTTATTTATAATGAATTCAAATCTTTATTATAACAATATCTTCATTTGGTGATAATTATATAATGAATTTGCAATTCTTATATGTACATTAAACAACAGTTTAATTTTAACATTCGATATATTCCAATTAAAAAAGATCTTACATTTGTAAAAGAAAAACAATGGGACACGAACAAATCAATAAAAAAAAAATATCTATTTCATGTTAGCCGATATTAAATCCGTATCCTGCTTTTTTTAATTAAGGAGAGTAAATAATCTTTCAACAATTTAAAGTTGATTTCTTGCTACATATTGTAACGTTAAGTCCGTAATAATATTCCTTTCGCGAAAAATTAATTTGAAAACGTCTACATCAACAACTACCGCCATGTTGATTATAAATGTAAATGAAGCCATGGTAGAACGGATATACCTTTCGATTTTCAAAACAATTAGACCGCTAAAATTTTGAGAAGACATTAAAATTAAAGAAAAATCTGATTTCTTATTCTATATCCTGTACTTAATCGTGTTATTTTATAGTAAACGTTACATAGAAATTAAAATAAGATAACAAGGGCACCGTGAAGCGGAGAATCCCCTCACACATAGCATATCTATGAATCAAGACTACATTCGACAAAGATCCACATGAAAAATATATCACTTCCATTTCGCATAGGACATAACACACCTACAAATTAAACACACACATCATCATTGCGTCACTCTATCCCTACCAGCGTTTGCTAAGCGGCAGATACTTTCTATTCTGTGACAGGTCGCATATTTATGTATTCGGTGGTCCAGGCACCCAGTACTGCATCCCTTTATTTTGTTCAGCATCAGAGGACTGAATAGGGTATACAATCCAGGGAAAAATCTTGGTGCTGAAACAAATTGATAATCATTGAATTTTATTCAACATCAGTTCATTGGGTTCGAAAGCAAGAAATATTTGCTATTTAAAATATTGCACATGTTTGCAAATTAGATTTAAGTTTACGTTACATATAAAAGTAAAACTTTAACTAATGCAGGGTGTTCAGATTAACAATTTTCAATTACATGTAAACACACATACATGTATACCATTCCAATTCCATAAGCATGTTCCAAGTACAGACGAATATTAATTAGCATCAAAATATTTTGCAGAGTAAAAAAATCAGATTAAACCATGTATTGGACTTGGATGGGGCTTTCCTTAAAATATTTATTTTGATTCAGTAATTTATACACATTCAAAGACAAAACGGCATATTTTTTTCAATAAATCAAAAGGATAACTTTTTTCAGACAGATGTTCTTTACCTATCGTTATTGTTGTCTGCTGCTTCATTTTCATCTCCGACAACACCTGGCATTCGTATCCTTTTTTGTAGTGCAGTACAGCAGCAATACAATGCTACCGAGATCAATATGATTCCAACGAATATACCGACGAGGATACCGATAAGAACTTCATATCTATAATGTATAAATCTATATTTTATCCTAAGAACAGATACTCTCTGGTAAAGAAAACCCTATATTCAATTACATTTTTTTTTTACATAAAATGAACTACATGTATATAGAGATAACGAACAGCTCAAAATTCCTTAAACAATACATATTTAGAGCACAGTAATAATGGACTTCCAACATATTAGCGATTGAATTAGGAGCCATAGAGGAGTGAGCATCCCCTGTTGACCGGTCACACCCGCCGTGTGCTCCTCGTCATGATTGGGAAATAACGGGAAAATCCGTCAACAATGCAGTAACAATAAGAATGAAAAATGTCCGTCATCATATAACCTATAAATTGTATTTACTTTCGAAAAGATGACGTTAAAGAGACTGCTGATATTTTTTTTTCATCAACAAAACAAAATTTTATTCACCTTTAATTTATTGATTCAATAAATGATTTAATTAAATAAATGATTGATAAATAAAAGAAAAATAACCAGAAGTCCGTAATAATTAAAAATTCACGATTTTGTCTATCACTTATTATTTATTTCTGAAAGAATTAATTATATAAAGAAACTTACGTATTGAACGTTTCGTTAAAGTAAATGTAAGAATCATAATCATATTGGCCTTCACAATCTGAAAAACAAAAAAGAAATATGTCGCTTAGTGCTGCAATATCTGTTTTTAAGGTTGAATTTAAAATTATGACAGACTAAGGATTTCCAACCTGCCTTAAATGGATAAATTTGTAGAACGTCCTGTCTAATAAAAATTACTTCTTAGATTTTAGTAAAATAAATATGCAAGATAGTAATTAAAGCTTCAAAAAGACTATAATAAAGAAAGATGAATAAAAATGAAAAACATACAAGAAAAAATAAAATAAAATGTAAAGCAATCTTTAAAAAAGTGTGGTGTGAGCAGTTTTTAAGACATCCAGACTTTAAACAAATTTTATGAATGTTGTAATTGGAAGGTCATTCCACAAACAACGAATAATATATAAAGGTCATTCCACAAACAAGGAATAATATATAAAGGCCCTTTATCCAAAAATCTTAGTTCGAACTTTTGGTACAATTCTTATTGCTGTTTTCGATATAAGTGATCGAGCTGACTTATAAACTTCAGCAAGTTATTAAGATATGAAGGTGTACATCCAAACAGGGTGTAGTAGGTAAGCATTGTTATCTAATATCGTTGTCGACACTGGACCAGAAGCCAGTGCAGCTCTGCAAAGGAAGGGGGAAATTTACTAGTAATTCCGCGTTGATGTCCTCGAGACCAATTTGCACCTTCTGTAAGCGTTCCAAGGTGGTCCTATTCATTCCAAACAGACGAGAATTCGTATTTGTCCAATATTACGGATATAAAAGTGATATGTATATACAATATGTCTTCAGAACCTGGTATTAGTTCATGCCTAATTCACTACATGTATCATTAGTATCAAAAATGTTTAGCCCAAAAATGATACCAACGCTTTATCTAGAAATGTTTAATTTTTTGCACATCCATGAAATACCAAATAAACTAGATGTACTGTGAGCAATGAGCTAATTAAATGATACCCTCACCTCCCATATGAATATAATGGGAGTGTCCATGGATGCTTTGCTGTGGGAAACCCAAAATATGTGTCGGATCAAAAAGTGAAAATAGGAGGTGCACAATGACAATATGTAACTAGAGGTACTGTGAGCAATGAGCCCCCCCCCCCTCCCTCCCCGCGTGAATATAATGGCAGTGTCCATGTTTTGCTAAGGGAAACCCCAAAAATGTGTCGGATCAAAAAGTAAAGTAGAAAGTGCACAATTGCAATATGTAATATAGAATCAAATTTCATTCAGTGGTAGGAGAGGAGTTGCGGATTAGAGATGGGTACCCCAAAGCATAGCAGACAGACGAACATCTCGATTACTATATACATACCCTCTCGCTTTTCAAGCGGAGGGGAGGGGGTATAGAAAAAGACGTCACTTACGTTGAGAAACTAAGAAAAAATAAAGAATGTTTAAGTCTCTAGTTATTCTTGACGTGAGTTAGATAAAGAAAAGAACATTTTGTTTGATAAAAATGTAATTTTTTATTTATAAAAGATGATCTCAAAGTTTGTCTTTATAGATAATCAAAATTATTCTCATCACGTAACAATTTGTTTGTATCGTTAATCAACTTCATTTTTACATTAGATGATCTCAAAGTTTGTCTTGATGAAATGAACAAAATAATTTTTTTTTAACATTTGAATATATTTGTATCGGTTAAGCATACTAAAAACGCGTAAAAATAATTAAAATTTTGTAATTTTTTACACAACCTACCGTGTAGTAGATAAAAAAATATTAGACAAGGAAGTTTATAATGCATCGCCATTTTGTTTATGTTGAAATACAATGACTAGGAATGCATACCAGACCATTGGGTATTTAAAAAATGGGGGTAAGGTATTTTTAGATCTACACATTCTCGAATCATACAAAAAATCAACTACGTAATTAAGCTTTAAATGTACACACCTTAAGTATCTAATTGAGTTTCTATGAATTTTGATATGAATCAATTTCAGTTTCCGAACATTTAGAACAACTGCACATGATTCGTTGTATGTATCTCAAGTTTGGAGTGTGAAAGATGTTTAGTCAGATGAAAAAGATGAAGAAAAAAACTCACTGAGGTATCAATGGATGACTTTATGCAGGGCTCTCGCACCACTTTTTGGGAATGGGGCCAGGGCCGTTCAAATTGGGAAAATTATGGATGAAAAGTTGGAAAACCAACATTCATTAAAAAAAAATCCTCAAAGTTTGCTTTTCCAGAGAGAGAGAACAAACTCAAATTTTGAATGAAACTGAGGAGATACATCTGACCCACAGTGAAACTGTTGCAAAAGACTCCAGGGATGTGGAAGAGACAGATAAGGAAATAATTGAGAATTTGTGAAATAGATCAGGATGAAAAAAGCGAGATAATCTCAGTGAAAAAATAGTCAACGAGGTTCTGTCAAAATATTTAAAAAAATTGAGAAATGAAAAAAATAATCTTCCTAAAACAAGAGATGATTGTAAAACACTTGTGCCCCCTAACCCCACATTGGAATTTTTCTGAGTCCAAGGGGCATAACTCTGTCAAAAACGGCGTGTTCGACCCAAAACAAAACTTGACCTATATATTCATCTGATATATCTGTATACCAAATTTAATTTCAGTATGTTCAACGGTTGTAAAGAAAATGAACGGAGACTTAGTGGACCGACAGAGTGCACGTTTTTCAATTCATAGGGTGAAATTCCGCTGGTCGGTAGGGCCCGCAAAGTTGCCATTAAATATTTACCGGGAAAATCTTACTTAAACCGTATTTCTCTAGCATTCAGGTATTATTGCAAGTAACATATAAAAAGATCGTATAACAAGAAAATTCAGAGAATTGTGGTCCCCCGCTTTCGGTGTCTTACTGGGTGAGATGGCATTTTTATAACATATTGTGTCAAAGTCGAACGCCCTTTCATATGTCATTTTGAAAAAGAAAGTTGAATTTAAAAATAAGGTCAATCGTGAAGGTCAATGTCAAGGAGTCAGAAATCATAGCATGCTCGGAAATATCTTGTCACAGGTAATACACATGTCAAATATCAAAACCCTATCTCTTCTCAAAAGTTTGTGAAGTATTGACGGCCCCGTATGGCAAAGTAATGAAGATTAAACTTTTCATACATGTAAATGCAAATTAAAGATATGTATGCCGTGTTAAACAGTATTTTTGCGCAGTTGAAACCGAACAAAAATTTCTGGAGTATGATAAGCTACCAAAAATGAAGCATTCTTGCAAATTCGACGAAATTTTATTCGGTATTAACAAAGTACTGGTCAGGAAAAGAACACGATTTTATAAAGGACTGACGTTTATCCTGGATCTGCGCATGTGCGCGGGAAAAGTATCGCGAGAATCATCAGGTCGAGGAAAATATTTTTTGTGACGTCTGTTCATTGAGGGACACAAATAGACCAATCAGCTCAATGAGTTGCATTTAATACATTTATGGGTTACTACATAAAATACTACATGTGTTTTTCAAAAAGGCTAGTTTTTAAAATCGCTCTCAGAAAGACTTGATGCATTATGTACATTATTATCTACTAATCCCATGCTCATATTTGCATACAAATGATTAACAATGATGAAATTAAAGTTTCCCCCACTCCATTGTACAGGTCCGTTTGTTTAGAGTTTCCCCGTGCTGTACTGCTAGTGGACATTTTCGGTTGGGTGAGCATTTACGGATCTTTAGTATGGAGCGCATTATGCGCAAAAATAATTTATGTCAAGTAAAATGTATGGAAAGTAATTTAAACTGCTATGTTTACACCCTGAATGATATATCGTCAATTATCCCTTTTGGTTTTTTAATATGAACTACATAACATATATAGATGAAACTTACATACCATACATCTTGCCATCTTAGAAATATAGTTGGGCTAATAAAATAAAATTGGTGAAGGAATTCCAGGCCTCTAAAAACTATTCCAGTCTGAGGGCACAACCAAGCATTTCGATGAACACCATTAAGAAAAATTAATTCAGGTAAGTAGCATCGTTTTTTTTGTTTTTTTTTTAAAGTGGTTGGGGGGATAGAACAGTTAGAATAAAAATCAACTAGCTCTCTCTCTCTCTCTTTTGAAGAAATCTGACAAGTAAAATAGGTTCCAATATCTTTCACTACTAAATTTTATTCATTCACTACAATTTACTGCCAAACTCCAAATTTCACTTTCGAATTATCCCGAGCCAATGCTGATAACCTACTTGCAAGATTTTTTATATTATTTTCAAGGGGTCAGAAATACTGTGGTTCATATGTAAAGAATATAATTATATTATTTAGTAGTTCTGGTTTTGACATTCGGTATATTGTGCAGATTTATACATGATATTCTGTGGAATACTTTTTGTTGTTTTGAACTATTAAGAAATGCAGAATCGAATGTATCTAATAACCATTTTGATTGATCAAATTACTAGTATATCATTTGTTTGTATTAGTTATTTCATTTTGGCGCAACATGGTTTCCACACTTCTTTATCCATAGTCGCTGACATCTGTAGAAGTTCACCCAACCGAAAATGTCCATTGAAAAGATAACTGCACGTGATTACTGAGGTGCTCTCAATATTTACAATCCCTAACTCACGTGTTTGTAGTAAAAACGTAGTAGACCATCATGCTTTTCGGTTCATTCACGAGATTGGACCATTGTTTGTTGTAAACATGCGAGACAACGTGATCATGAATATTTCAATGAGAGGCGGTTTTTTATCCGACACGGAGAGAAAATATTTTTTACCAAATAATATTTCATAACTTATAAAAGTGATGGAGTGGAATTGTCTTATTTGCAGAAAGTATATAACTTATATAACTTCATGAGACACCACATATATTTATTACTTTTAAAATAAAACACTAATACGGCATATATAGCTTTAAATATATTTGTACCCAAAGTAGGATCTTCTCACAAGAAATATGATTGTAATATACGAAAGCCCTAACACCACCTGTTCACAGTTATGGCCAAGGATAAGATTTTGAAAGGTTGGTCAAATTCCAAGGTCAAAGTTGTTGATTTCTTAAGAAAGACCTTGTCACATGTACAGTGAAACTTCTCCAAACTGCCCCATCGGCCGAATTTATAAGTCCCGGCAAAATTCTTAACATTTCTTTAGACAAAAACGCTCATAAAACCGGCCACCCCTCCACCCCTGAAAACCGGACACAGGCTACTTTTCCAAGAACAAAAGTTAAGAAACATAGGAAATTTCCCCTCATCATACCGGCCACTTTTTGATCGAAAGAAATATACATGTAACTGTCATTGTCAGAGGGGTTATAATACCTGGCCGGAGGTGTGAAAAATGGCCTACCCACCAGAAGTCAGAGGTGTGAAAAATTGAAATGGCCTCATAGGGTTTTCTATTGTTTAACTGTCTTGAAGAGGTATAACGTTATTCATCTTGCCACTGACTACCGGTAAAATGGCCGGTCTAAGTTGAGTACATTTGATTAAGCATCAATTAAACTTGAAAATATACAGGCAAATTCAAGGAATTGTAGTCTCCCGCTTTCGGTGTCTTTAATTTGTGGGTTAGATATTATTTTTTGTCCCCCGCTTGAAAAGTGGGGGATATTAATTTGGGTTTGTCCGTCCGTCCGTCCGTCTTTCTGTCTGTCTGTAACGCTTTCGTTTCCACATGATATCTGTGATTATGAAAGTCGAGAACCCTTTGAGCTTTTGCAATGAAATTTTGCATAGCAACTCCCTATGGACTGAAGAAGACCCCTATTGATTTTGAGGTCAAAAAGTCAAAGGTATCAAGGTCATAAATAAGCAAATTGGTGGAACTTCTCACTTAGAATTGACCTAAGACCATAACAATTCAGATTTGGCAACTTCTAACCTTGCTCTATCAAAATCCATGAAAAACTCAAATGTCTGTTATAACACTTTCATTTCTACACGATATCTCTAGAAACATTTGAGCTATCGCAATGAATTTTTACATAACAACTCCCTGTGGCCGAATGAAGACCCCTATTGATTTTGAGGTCAAAGGGTCAAAGTTCAAGGTCGTAAATTTATACATTCTGTCTGTGTGTAACACTATCATTTCCGGGCGATATTTCAAGAAGATTTTGAGCTTATGCAATATAATTTTATACCAAAACTCCCAAGGATTACATATTTGACCTCTCTCACCCCTCTCAAAGTGCCCCGCCCCGTTTGTTTTATTAGTATTTATAGTATTACATGTCGCTATTCTTAGCACAGGGGCATGAGGAGAGTTTTTGCGTATAAAACAGGTTCTCGGCGGACTTTATGTTCTTATTACATCTATTAGAACTGTTTAATAAAGGCTAAATAAATCAAACAGCATGGATTGTGTAAAATTTTGAGAATACCGAACATGAATATATACATGTATGTGACTTTAGTTCTGCATATACTTCATTTCCTGTAAAGCGATTCCGTGGTCTAGTGGTCATGTCTCTCGCTTCACGTGTGAGGTGTCCCGGGATCGAATCTCGGACGATTCTTGTATACATGTATACTTTTAATAATTCTACAAATTCAGTCCGGGGGATCCGACTTTTTCCCTAAGCGGGGGACACGAATTCTCTGAATTAGCTTGTATGACATGTTGTGTGTAATATGAACACCCTATCATATGTCATTTATTTAGAAATCATCACTGAACATCAAGGTCAAAAGGTTAAAGTTCTTGGTATCCAATGAAGTCTTCTCACAGGGATTACAAAGCCCTAGTCCTTACCATTCAAAAGTAATGGTCAAGGTTAAAGTTTTTTTTATAAGTACGA